AGGCAACCAACTGTTCATCGCGGGGCAGACGTACGTTCTGCAGCTTGCTTTAGCACATGTTTATTCTAAATTTTAGTCGCAAAAAAAGATAACATATAACTGTTAACTGTTTTAATCGAATTTATTGGTATTTTATTTGATCTAAATTGGTATATAACTGCCTTACTCTAGTCCTAATTCGATTTATATGTGTATTTTGGTGGTGAACACGCATGGGAAAATATACTCTTAAAACTAAAGATGTAAGTAGTAAGATATGATTATTTAGCGGATTTTGATTCAATATATGCCTATCCAAAGACCTAAATGGGCTGTAACTGTTATTTATTTTTCTTAGACTGCTGATAACCATTTTGTTTACAACGCGGTGTGGTGTGGATTGAATGGAAAACCTGAACACATTTTCAGAAATTTGGCAAATTTTGAATGCCTTGCTTGATACGTGCAACAATCCACGATTTTTTCTAGCTTTGCATGACTCTCTGATGGAACATTTAACAGACTTAGCTATTTTTCTTGTAACAAAACCTGAAATATACTTAGTACCAGTAAGAACTTAGTTACGTCTATACCTAATAGGCAAATAGGTACTGCCGTTATCTTGCTAGTAAAGGATGTCGAATAGTTCTACGTTATTTTAAGTGAATGGGAAAGTCGAAAACGCTCGGTATTGCATTATTGTTTAACACCTTCGTCGGTACCTTTCTAAAATCGGCTTCATTCCCCGCAAATGCACTATGGTGGGAGTAAATTTTTCTCTTCAAATGGCTCTGATCCATTGGCCCTTTAAACTTTTATCCGTTGGAAATCTGCATATTGTTTAAAATTTTATCTAGAGAGTACATGTTGATACGCACGAATTAACCTAAGTTTATTGGTTTATTCTCAACAGAAATTTATCTGTTTACTAATTCGAGATAATCACGAGAATGATTAATGAACGGAACATCTAAAATAAGAGCTTATTTCATTTTATTGCACACCATCTCGGCGATTTTTGCCCCGCCGTGCATTGTGTGTTGCATACTGTGTCGACAACACCTTAAAGCCGTCTTACACTATGCAATTTGTTGCGCAAGAAATTGCACAATTTCTTGTGCTATAAAATGTAGCAAATATTTGTGAGCTGACTGCTTTATACTATGCAATTTCTTGTGCAAGATATAGCCGAGGATTCTGCGCATTTATACTATAATTTATACCAGCTGACAATCATACAACCCCAACCTATAATTACCACAAGTTTTCAATAATTTATTTTGTTTGTTATTGTATACAATGAATGTGGAAAGACGAATATCTGTTGTCAGTGGATTGATCGGTATATGTGTAATTCGTAAAATTCTAAAAAGACGCGCTGCCAGAAAGAACAAAAAGAGAAAATTGTGGCAGGAAGAATGGTTAAAAAAAAGAGATGTGGGTAAAGGAGTTTTATCGCTTTTGCAAAACGAGTTACTTCATGAAGATCCAGAGGCATATAGGAATTTCTTACGGATGGATAACGATACATTTATGGAGCTTTTAACCCTTATAGATGATATCATTAAAAAACAGGATACTCAGTTACGACAAAGTATCCCAAGTGACAAAAGGTTGGTACACTGAAATATTTCTCTACAGTCTACATATTACCTAATTTACCTTTCATTAGTACTAAACTGCTAACTTATTTCCAGATTAGCAGTAACACTAAGGTATTTGGCCAGTGGAAATACGTTTAGAGACTTAATGTATGCAACAAGAATACATGAAAGTACCATAAGTATTATTGTAATGGAAGTGTGTAAAGCTATCATACAAAACCTAATGAAAACATATATACAGGTGTAAAATTGATTCATACGTTGGCTGTTTATTATCTTTATATTTTAGTTGCCTCGAACTACTCTGGAATGGGAAAACGTGGCCAAAGGGTTTGAAAAACTTTGGAATTTTCCCTTTTGTCTTGGCGCCTTAGACGGAAAGCATGTCAATTTTCAAGCTCCTAAAAGCAGTGGATCCTACTACTTTAATTATAAAGGATCCCACAGCATAGTGTTACTAGCATTGGTAGATTCGGAATATAAGTTTTTATATGTAGATGTTGGAGTCAATGGAAGAATAAGTGATGGTGGAGTATACAGAGAAAGTAGTCTAAAAAAAGGCATTGATAGAAACCTATTAAACTTTCCAGAAGACCGTCATTTACCAGACACTGCCTTAAGTGTGCCATATGTTATTGTGGCAGATGATGCTTTTCCGCTATCAAAAAGAATAATCAAACCATATCCTTTAAGGGGATTGTCTGTGGAAAAACGAATTTTTAATTATAGACTGTCCAGGGCAAGACGAACAGTAGAGAATGCCTTCGGCATCTTAACAAACAGATTTAGAATTTTGCAAAACACAATAAATTTAAGCCCTGAAAAAGCAGAAATACTTACGCTAACGTGCTGCATATTACATAATTTCTTGGCTGTAAGAAACAAGAAGTATATTCGACCAGAAAATGAAATTAATGAAACATGTAGTTTAGAAACCATATCTCAGCAAGGTGGTTTTAGAGCAAGTAATGAGGCTCTGCTTACAAGAAACAAATTTTGTGATTATTTTAATACTGTCGGAAGCGTTGAGTGGCAAAATAAGTCAATTGGATTAGTTTAGGTTCTATTGTTCACATGTGCTCTACAGTGATGATTATGTAATAACGTCAAAATAAAACTGTATCGGTGTAATAAGGATAATTGTAATATAGGTACATAACATAAAATATCTTGTAAAATATTAACTCAATAATGCCTCGTGCAAAACAGTATGAATATTATATTGCACTGTCAATCTTTTGTTTTCATTTCTTATTTTTTTTAGTTGTGAAGCTACAAACTCCCCAAATATATCTTCACTGCTTTTGAGACCTGGCTTAAGCGCATCAGTAATTCCCTCAAGGCTTGAAGACACAGCTTCTAACACTTTTAGGTCTGGGTCTTCTGCCTTTTTACTTTTTCCTTTTGCACCTGTTGCAGATGAAGACCTGTTATCAACTGAAAGACTTCTTTTTTTTAATCCACCAAGTCCAAGTTCCAAATCATTCTGATGACAAGATGAGCCACTTCCCGCTGATGATGGTCTGGTGCTAGGTCTGGTGTCAACTGAAATGCCTTTTCTTTTTAACCCACTGCATCCTGACCTCTGATGATCTGGTATTAAATCTGAGGAAATTTCTGGTGATAAAGGTACCAATACTCCTTGGTCATCTACTTCATACTGTTCCACAATCTAAACATATAATGTTCAACTTTTGATGTGAAAGAATGTAGCTACTTACAGTTTCATTAATTGATGAATCCAGTAAATCTTCCTCCTGTGTTTGTGATGTTTCATTGCCCTCCTCGGGCAATAAAAAGTTTGAATTAGATTTCCTGACTACAAGGTGGTCGTCCAGGAAATCCATTTTTTCATAATACCACAGCGACGGATGGTAAACCTAGTTAAATGGTTACGTTACTATTATTATACACTATAAAGTGATACAAACTACCTCATTTTCGGCCATTCCACTGTGTATACTCGCTAAATGTTTCCTTCTCTCATTTGCGTACGTTGTCCTTAATCCATGAAATTTTTTTTGGACATCAGCTTCTGAGGTAACTGGTCTTATCGGTTTAATGTTATTAAGTATGGTTAGCAGAGCAGCATTTCGGACATGCTTGTTGTGGTAGTTTTTGTCCTTTACCACATACAAACACGGATGCATTTTGTATAAGTCAATGGGCTCATTCAGGGACGGTCAGCGGCCAAGTAGCTTACTAAGCAATTACCCTGAATGCGTCCGCTGACTTAGAATTCTGTGTCAGCGGCTGACAAAATAGGTTAGCACTTAAGTTTTCAGCTGTTTGTACTCAGCGCCGTCAGCGTTCTCGTCATAACCTCACAAAAGAACTGCAAAGTGCAAACTCATATGCGAACTGCATTAAAAATAACCTAAACCTTTCACGCCAAATAGTTATTACTTGTAGACCAGTGTGCAGGACAAGATGAACAAGGTAGTTATTGTGGAAAATTACGTCGTCGGTAAAAATAATACCATACGGTTGCGGCCGGTACCCACACCTTCAACAAGTAATTATTTAAATTACCAAAACGATACTACAGTCGATGAAAGTGAAGTTGATGCGATGTATAATGAAGGTGCAAACTATACACGTTATTCCTGTAATGCATTACTTACGACTGTTTTAGAGATCGAATTAGAAGGTGGTGACACAAACAATTTGGATGCTGTGCAAGATGCAGAAGCTAGTAAAGAAGGTAGGTGAATACCAATTAATACATGTACTAATAACATATTTTATAAGGTGAAAAATTTAGATGGAGTCGCCAAAGCATTCTGTTATTCATAGATGAATACGAAAAGTTAATCGAAAAATTTAGAAATCCGAAGTATAAAAAAAAAGATCTGTGGAATGAGATCGCAGGGAAAATGAAGAACAAAGGATATACAGTGTCATCTGACGCACTTGATAAAAAAATGCGTAATATGCGTAGTACCTACATAAAAATTTTAGATAATAATAAGACTAAGGTCGCTACAGGTAGAGGTAGGATAGCATGGGAATATTTCGATCGCTTCGAGGAAGTATTTGCCCGTGATAAAAGTGTGAAACCTGTCAATGTGGTGGCCTCTTCACAGCCGCCAAAGACACCAATTGTTATTACTGAAAATGGATCATCACCACAATCGACACCAACGCATGCCTCATCTGTACAAGCATGTACGCCACAACTTTCATCGAAGTGGAAACGATTAGACGTTTTTCGTAAAAAACAATTAGAAATAGAAGCCAAGAAGGTAGAAGAGATTAAAAACATTAGAATTCAAATGGAGACCTTTAATGAAATTCAGAAGAAAAAATTAGATCTGTTCGAAAAATATTTAAATTCACCTCCAAATTCACAAACATAACTTTTCTCATGTTTTGTAAAATGCTTATGCTTACTTTGTATAGCGACATATTTATGAACGAATAATGTGTTTTATTATAAGTACATATACCTATTACAATAGTGAAGCTATATAATCTCTTTTTATTTCTGCATTTCTTCCAACATCTTCCTCATAAAATTCTGCATGCTGTATACCTATGTCATCACCATTGTGACCATTGTCATTCTGGTTATCTGCATCATTATCGATGATCAGAATAAAGTTATGCAGAATACAAGCTGCCAATATAACTTGAGGTAGTTTATCTGCTAGAGACATATCAAGATATTTTAGTCTTCTCCATTTTCCTGCAAAAAGAATCAGGTTTGTTCTCTTTTGAGCATATTCATTACCTTTCAATAGACCAAAGCACCTTTCGATCATCGACCGTATGCTACTCATCACTTCGTTAAACCGAATTTGTACTTCTGTAAGGTGGCCATTATCCCTGTATGGTTTTAAGAGATTATCAAGCAGCGGATAAGCTGCATCTCCGAGTAAGTGTTGCTGTGGTGTTAATAAAGCAGGATTGTTTACAAGTCTATTATAGATTGGGCTATTTCTAAAAATTCGCGCATCATGCAGTCGGCCTGGCATACCAATATATACATCTGTAAATATTAATTTATCGTTGCAAATTCCTTGTAAAACCACCGAGTGTACATCTTTTCTATTAAAGAAATCTACGGGGTTATGTGTTGGTTGTTTTATTTGTATGTGGGTTCCATCTATAGCACCCACGACACCTGGTATGCCTGGTAAATATATTATTTAGTTACCTATAGGTATTGGGGATAGAGTGGGACTCTGGAGTGTGATATAATAGCGACTTTCATCATACTCCTAGGAGTATACTCAAAGGTAGCGATAGTAGGGGCCGCCCCAAGATTTACACATGCTTTCCCTTTTTGGGTTAAAGTAATTATTTCCTCTCCCCAACTCTCAGTACTACCTTTATACGTGGTCCTAGTGGCAAACGTGTGAAATTTTGGGGCAACTCCTATTACAGGTACTATATGAGACCCCAGAGCCCTACTCTAACTACACATATTTACCATATTTTGTTTCTATTCTTGATGCTATTTCGTTACATGTTCTCGCATTTGGCCACTCAATAAATTGGTGCGTTAAATGACCCACCGCAGAAATAAAATTCATAAAAATATAGTGGCCTGATCCACTCGACAGATTAAATCTGTCCCCGACAGCCAAGAAGCTTTCTTGCTTTGCCAGAAGCCAAATGGAAAAAAGAACTTGCTTTTCAATCGGAACCGAATGTTTATCGGGTAAATGATTACTAACAAGACCTATTAGCTGCTCCACTGCCATCCGGGACATTCGAAAGTGATTCTTGAACTCACTAACTGTGTACTGGGGTACTGTAACTTCAACGTAATTTTCATTACGCACAGGCTGCGCATGATGATTGGCCTCATCATCAACCGCATTATCATCTAGATTCTAGAATATACACTACGCCGTTTAAGTTTACATCGTCGTTGAATAAGAAATCCACAATATTTGGTTCGATCATGTTAAAAAATTTATATTTTATAACATAACCTCAAATGCAAGTGGCACTCAGCTTAAGTGTGTCATTCAGGGAACATGGGTGGCTAACCTTAGCAACTTGTTAGCCATCTAAGCATCAGCCGTCAGCTGCTGACCGTCCCTGAACGCGCCCAATAAGACAAGAAATCTGTTCATGTGTCCACGACATTTTAACGCAAAACTGGCAACACAAATAACTAAATGAAGGAATTAACAAGACAAGACAGATTTTGTCAAACAAAACACCTCGAAAAACACTAAACAGCTGATCTGAAAATACATGTTCAACGAGCGGCGCACGCGCATTTTAAAATTGCATTGAAACTGGCATAAAAAATAGCACCGGTTCTATTTTTGATGCAATAATTTGTTGCAATGTAATTTTGCATGCAATTTCCTGTATGATACTATGCAATTTAAATTGTGCAATATATCTTGTGCAAGAAATTGCTCAGTGTAAGACGGCTTTTAGATACGTTAAGCTCAGTCTAGTTATAGCAAGTCTCTGGGTCTGTGGCTGTAGCTTAAAGAATTTTTCTGCCATATTTTCAAAAATCAGTAGCTCCAAAGGTTGTGGGGTACAGCTCGCTTATTCCTCGAAGCAGTATGAGAATTTCAGTGTAAGCCCGCCTACTAAATGCACAGTAAATAGTGGCGGATACTGGTGGGGATTTCCTCATTACGTTAAAAGTAAACCTTTATCGGATTATTAAAATAACATCTATAATTATGACAAATCTGAATGCCAATATAATCGGAAATAGTCTTATTAATAGTTTATTTACTATCCGGGAGGTAACACCGATTTCAACCAAATTTCACAGGGGTCGGTCCCACGATACTAAAAAACCATACCAAACCCACCGCAATTGTTTATAACAAATAATAGCTAATAACAAATTGTATGCAATGTTCCGTTACAAAAAAGAAGGTGACGCTGTGTGTATATAAATCAATAATCTGATTATTCATGTACGCAGGTGCAACTCTACCCAGCGCCCACCACGTTACGGTAGACGCCATTTCGCTTTGATGTGCTGAAAAAAACAGACGCTTTACCTTCGCTTCGTTTATTATTTGTATTCTGCTTTTTTCAAAGCAATCATGGCGTGTCAGAGCTGCTAAATACACTTCTTTCTTTTTCAGATTTTTGTAACCGCGAACGGGACCTTATTTCTTTTTTGCAGGATCATCTGGTTCTTCCCGGACCCGTCGCCTGCCCCACGTGCAAGAAGGATGGCTACCTTGCACGAGAAGACACCCGACTTCGTTCTAGATGCCAGCGTCAGGTGAAAGTACCGAAAACTAGGTAGACTAAAAAGTGCTCGTTCCCTGTTACAGCAAAGAAGGGGACCTTTCGAGGGATCTCATCTGGTCGTGCCAACCGTGTGTCGATTCGTGCTTCATGGTTCACCATCCGAAGAAGAGGTTTGTCATGGAAGAGCTGCAAGTTTCGTCCAGGACCTTCGTCGACGGGAGCAGTTTCTGCCGAGAGGTATGTATGGATTATTTAACACGTCGTTCTGTTCTTTTAGGTGGAGAAGGAGTAACCGTTGAGATCGACGAGAGGAAGTACAACCGTGGGAGACGAATCGAGGGCCAGTGGATCTTCGGAGGGTACGAGCGAGGCTCGGGTAACGTTTTCATCGTTCCAGTGCTGGATCGAACCACGGATACCTTGCTTAAGCTTATACGACCTGGTACGTAGCAGACATATTGCAAACGACTATTTTCTAAACGTTTTATTAGTACAATTAGCTATATAAAAACTGTAAATATGAATATGGTTGTCTCTAGTCTAGTCTCCGCCTGAGTGGATGGTCCAGATTCCATCAACTACTTTCTGAAAATCATCCTGTCAATTGAACGTCTTACTCTGCCTCGTCAACATAATCTCTTCGCTGAATCCAACTCATAGAAATTGCTCGATGGGCTATTGCACTGCGAGTCGAATATGGTATCGCGTTTGACAACAATATCCTCAATTGTTGGCACTTTGTCACACATATTAGGTTCCGCCACATTCGTTTTCAGCTATTTTTCGATGCCTTTGTCCTCCAATGCTAATTGCACGCGGAAATACAATTAGGTACTGAATTCACGGCCATCGAAACACAAATTTTTCATCGTCTGGCTCTGGCATTTGACTGCAGAAGTCGCTAATGTCAGGCTGTCATCTGTCATGATACTATTTTTTGTAGGAATATCATGGCACCTGTACTTCAAATGTGTCAACCAGTGACGTTTATAGAAGCGCGGGAATGCGCGTGAGCATATCTATTACCGGAAATACGTGAAATTTGACGCAAAATGGCGGCCGATCTCAACAATCAATCAAAAATTAGACACTCTATTGTGGCCACTGTCTCTATAAAGTCACTGTATTGAAAAACATAGATATATAAATATATATATCTATGTTGAAAAATGAACGCATACGCCACCTATTGCGCAATAGCCAAAGTTTTTTTCCTGCTACCACGACATTTCCAATCTTTTTTATTTATTTTTTTTTAAAATGGGCCATTAGCGAAAACAAATTCTATCATTTTCTTCAAAAACAGCCCATTTCCTACTTTCTGAAAATCTTTTTCAAAAAATACGCTACCCCCCGGATACGAAACCGGTACCGAGCTGGTCGTTTTCTCAAAAGAGGCGCGCTTAAAAAACTTGAAGTCAGATATCGATCCCGTATTTTTCCGATAAGCGCAGGCGGAGTTGTTAATTAATTAATTAAGTTTTGAACACGTTCCGTATTAGGTACGCGAGCGTCTCGAAATTTCCTGGTTTCCTCTCCGTATTATGCAAGTATTTAGGTTAAACAGATCAAGAAATTGTAGTAACTATTATGCTATCAAATTTTACAACGCCTTAGCTCCTGATGTTAGATCTTTATGTCCAAAGGTATTGAGGAAAAAATTAAAGATACTATTGTTAGAGTTGACAATTTTTAACATAAGCGAATTTTTAATTATCGGTTTGAGATCGCTCAATTTTTGTAGGTTCGTGCATTTATATGTAGTTGTGACCATTTTTGTGTGTGTAAAACTATACTGTTATAACACCAATAAATTATTAATCTATCATTGATATATTATTTTGCTTTTACATTAAGTTACCCATATTCATTGGAATTAGCTTTTAGCAACTTTTCCTACCGCTCCGTTAACTGCAAGGTGAGCTTTTTATTTTCCGTTTTACTAAACAAAAGGGAAGGAGGATTGTTCGCTTTCCCGCAATTCCTTTTCCGCCGATTTGTGTTTTGTTGTTTTCATTCCCGTTAGGGAGTTTACCGTAATTTTGTTTTAGTTTTGAGGGAGTGCCCGCCGCCATTTTCTGAACCCGCCCGATTCCTGGCTGCCGTCTCTCCTGTTGCCTTTACCCGAGGCCACCGAGGCCGACTCGCCAGACCGTTGCTACCGCCGACATCGACCAGCCGCGAGATTTTTCGCTTGATGGCGCTCGAGTTCGTCCAGCCGTTTCTTGCGCCGTTCCGCCGTTTTCTGCCCCTGCCGTGTTAATTAATTAATATAATTTGTTTATTTATTCGTATTTATTTTAAAATTAAAAATTATTATTCCGCTAATATTCTTTAATTTTAAAGCTCACCGCTTGTGCACGAACTACCCCAGTTCGTTGCAATCAGAGTTGGACTGGGTCAAGCATAGAGTGACCCGGTGACCCAGTTAGTTTACTGACCCGGTGACCCAGTTTGACCCGGTGACCCAGCTTTGACCCAGCTTGACCCGGTGACCCAGCTTGACCCGGTGACCCAGCTTGACCCAGACCCTTGACCCGTGTGACCCAGCTTGACCCAGTGACCCGTCCTGCCCCGGTAGCCCAGTAATTAAATTATTGTTAGGTATCATCCAAAACAATTTCAAGTAACTTTTAATTTAAAAAAAACTTCCTCAATAATCTTCGGCAACAAGCACGTAGCCCAATTTCATTCAAGAGAACTAATACCTAAAAAAATCAAATGCATTTGTTTATAGTTTGTAGTCAAGTAGTCAATGAAAGTATTTAGAGAAAAGATTTATTTGGATTAAGCTAACTAGTAGAAAAAAATTAAATGTGAATGAACACCTGTAAGCAAACTGGTAAGCCCTGAAGCAAAGAAATAACATCATTCTAATACAATTCGGGACATGGAAAGTTTTTTACGGCAGTATTAAAGCAAACATCACAGAAATGGCAGTTGTCAAGCAATCGAGTATTATTTTCAACAAACCAGCATTTCATTTATTGCATAATCTGTACACTTGAACCGAGGGCACTGACTTAACTGCGTTATTCAATCAAACTAGGTGACTGGGTCGAATTGGGTCCCCGGGTGAAATTGCGTCGCTGGGTCAAACTGGGTCACTGGGTCCTGGGTCACTGGGTCAAACTGGGTCACTGGGTCAAGTTGGGTCAAGTTGGGTCACTGGGTCAAACTGGGTCAACTGGGTCACTGGGTCTAACTGAAAAGAGTATGACGTGACCCAGCGACCCAGTGACCCAGTCCAACTCTGGTTGCAATACATAGATATGTTATGAGTTTATGACTCATGATCAAAACAATGTTGCATTTTTACAGTTAGTATATAACAATCTTTCTTTTCTCTTTCCCTCTTTTTGCATCTTAAAATCAAACCAAGCAAGATTCCAGTGGACTAGTAAAACAAATATGTCAATCAATCAATATGTGCAATCACTCATTTTAAGGAATTAAATTTTAAAAGTCCTGGAACCGTTTATATCCACGAACTTAAGTATGCCAAAGATAAAAAAAATGCGGATAAGGGATAACAAAATACCTACAATAAGTGGACGTCTGAAATTCGTAAATGTTAATCTCTAGAGAACTCCGTTTTCCATATTCCTTATGAAGTGTATTTCAAAATAAACTGTGCAATGTGTAATTTATTCACGTGGAACATAATCAAATATTAATTAAAACTACTTCGATATGTATCAACATATTGTGCTCTCTCCAATATGCTGCCTGGAATCTACTTTTTGTTTCGTTGAGAGTAGTCAAGAATTTATTCTTACCTGTCTAGTTGAAATGAATTATTAATGACAGTAAAGTATTTTATTGTAACCGTAAAGTAGAAACTATAAAATCTAGTAATCTCGTGCTTCAAGTTAACACTTTTATTCCTCGGGTCGAAATGCAATTAATTTTCACATTTAATCATATACCGAGCTTGTAACTTTAGATGTTATAACTTCCTGTTCATCAAGTATACGATGTTAAATCCAGACTTGCTGAAAAAGAACAAAGAAATAACAACATTACAGTAAAAGAAAGCAATTGCGTTTGGCTTTGTACTGTTCTTATTCTTTTAATTATGTGCGCATTGTTCTTGTAATAAACACAAGCCATTATCGTAACTCGAAACGTTTATCGTAGCTAGTAAAAATTTAGGGGAGGAAGTTTCACAAATAAAATCGAATACTTGTGGTAAATTTTCTAAAGATTACAAATGAACGGTGCGCGCGAGTAGAAAAAATTGCTTTGGATGCTTTGATCCTTTCCGTGGCGATAAAAACGGGAACTATTGTTTCGTTCTTACGCTTTGAAAAGGTGTATTATCGCACTCCATTTGCGAACAACGCTGGAAATAACAATTCCCTTCCTTCGAAGTTTTCAATTAGAAAAGCCTCTGCCACTACAATATAGCAATACGAGTCAACACAAAAATCACACAAATCATCAATTTGAAGAAGGTATATTGCGTTGATCCATCGTTATTTACAATTTAATCAAAACACTTTTTGGTTGTATCGTGTTAGTTTTCACAATTTCCACTAACAAAAAAAATGTACACACATGTAAAGTAACAAGATTTCTATTTGTTAAGTGTAACTAATCCGGTGAAGTTCAAAATGTATTTGTATATACATAAATAACGAACGGACGATGTATTCCATATATTTTCCGTTGCACGTCATTACCTCAACAAATTGACGTACCCACCGTAAACTCAGTTTTGTTTGTTAGGCAACGCATTAAGCATGTAGTTTATTTTAGTCGCACTTCACTTTTCATTTTCACACTTATTGTACAGGCAAGTAAACCACCGAGCGGTATAGAAGCGGGGGAGTATGACGACAAAGGAAATCGAAGGAGGAGCATATATTTATCATTTATTTGCATTTAATATACTCCATGAGAACTCAATGACAACTTCGCAGGAACAAACTGCCTGGAACAACTCAACTAGACACGGATGATCCGCTGATTTGTCCTACGTTGTCTAAAAGGATGTTTGTAGGAGAGCTGGTTATATAAGTCTGGCCGAAACTGCTTCAACTTTAAATGAGCTTGGTAAGATACCTGAAGATGTAGTGAAGAGACTGAAAGAGGGTGGATAATTTGTAGAAACATTGCAATCCAAACAAGCAAACTTTCACAAAAGCTTTCGTTACAAGTATAACAGAACTATTATTGACCGGATCCAAAAAACTAGCTGTGGGAAAAGAAATATTGGTGGACCGTAAAGTAGCGCAAGCCGCCTACCAAGGGCTACATGCACTAAAATAATTTTGTTTCTGCAATAAGCCTGACAAGGAAACCCTGCACTGTTGCAGAAATCGAAGAGCATCTTGAAGACGGTGCAACTAGTGCCAAACGACACGATTTATTTGTCAAAATGGCAACAAAATGATTTGGAGGCTCAGGGAGCATCGTATCACAAAAATTGCCTAACAAATTTTTACAACAAAGTTAGATCATGTGAAAGGAAGAATAAAGAAGCAGAATCGGTTTTCAAATTGTCGGAATTAAGAAAGATTACCGACAAGGAAACCGTGAACTGTTGCAGAGATCTTAGAGCATCTTGGAGACGCTCCAACTAGTCTCAAACGACACGATTTATTAGTCAAATCGCAATAAATGATTTGGAAAGATTACTGACAAGGAAACCCTGCCAGCGTCTTTTGAAAGTATTAATATGGGTATAACGGTACTCTTTGGTATAACAGCAGCATTGTAAGATTTTTTTCTGAAGAGTCATTGCTACATTTAAATCTGCCTTGCTTATATATTAAATATTCAATTGCACTATTCCGTAGCTTTCTCGTGCATTACGAGTGTAGTAAGACATCACTTGTAATCCATAATATCTACCCCTCATTCTTCTAAGGAACTAATTTCGATTCCCCTCAAGATTACAAAACCATAGGCGTGCCCCGGCCATGTGTCGTAATTGATTTGTGATTAATGGCATTGATGCATGGAAAATGTAATTTTAAAGTTGACAACTAAAATGTTGTTATTGAGAGTGTGCAGCATAATCTAATTGCGCAATTCAACGCCAATATGTTCAATACATTCTATCAACGTATAATGTTGCTGTAAACAATCAAATATGTAGAAACTGCGTTCGATTATATGTCGATAAAAATTATGTTTGGCTTTAAGCGGCACGAAGTATTTTAAAATTGCCTAACTGAAGTATTACATCGGTAATTGAATTGTCATTTACAGTCAGGGCGTTATCTTGGATTTCGGAATGATCGCTGTAATCTGTGGGATATGATAACAAATGCTTTTTAGGAACATCTGCCATGAATTATAAAGCGTTAACGTCCTTTCCATAACATGTTTTAATTTTTTTTTCCAATTTTAAAATCGCGTTTGGCATCGTTTGCGCTTACAAAGGCGATTACTTAAAAATGTTTATGCTTGTTGAGTCGTACGTGATTTTATAATTCATGCATATATGTAGATACAGAAGCAGAGCACAGTTGTTTAGCATTATGTAATGGTACATTAAACTTTAAATGCTGCGCTAGAGATTTACCAACCCCGAAATGCCGTAATTTCAATAAGAAAAAGGGTTTGCTCAATATTAAAAAGTACATGTCAGTTCAATCTAATTATGAAGTTCAAATCCACTACAAAGAAGTAAAGACGCTTTACGTGATCAGACGGTATGAATAAAACATTTCCGTTACCAAAGCCTTATATCGTGAAATTGCTACAAGAATACATCTATACACAATGAAGTTTTTCGAAAGGGAATTATGTATAAGATATTTGAATCCTGTACTGCGCTAAAAGTTTATTGTCAAATAAGAAACAGATATGTTCAGTGTCCATGAAGGAACGCGAAATTGTGAAGCAAAAATGTTTTCAACTACTTATCGATATTTGAACCACTTGTAACTTTATTGCGTGAAGCACACAAAAGAACTTTTTCCATCAGTATTATTTTGTGTTTGGTTTAGAAGAATTTAAATTACAATTATAAAACATTGATGAAAAGTTCATAAGGTTTCACATTTTATTCGTTAATGAATTAATTTCACTTTATACTACTCGTCAAATGTTGAATTATACATATTAAAATTGTGCAACTAGTATAGGGGTTCTTATATGGTAGGTTATCGTTTTCTTTTCTTGGATCGTCCCCAGAACACAATTGATATGCACATCTGTATGTTTTTATTTACCAGGTGTGCACGCAATAGTTCGAGTAGAATGACAATGATGAGGAAACTATACGAAAAGCTAGACAAATTGGAGTTT